ATTTTTATTTTTTTTTTTTCCAAACATCCGAAACCCCCCCCCCCCAAAAAAAAAAAAAAAAACAGAAACAAAAAAAAACAAAAAAAAAACAATTAGAACAGTTTTAAAATTCATGGGATGATCAGTGAACTGTGGTCTTTTCTGTCCATGCCATGTGAGAGAATGAAACATTATCCTGCCTACAACTCGCAACTGCCACACTTCTCCCTGACATCGTCTTCCTATAGGATCCTGGTATGATTCTGATCCATATTTTAACAAATCAAACCACAGACGCTGACCTCTTCCTCTGGTTCCTGGGCCTGTGGGGTGTCATGGTGGCTGGGTGCTCCACAGTCAGGGCTGTAGTGTTCACAGTAGTCATAGGCGGCTCTGGGATCTGACAATATCAACAGCTGCTGAATGTCACCCTGGGGAAAAAAAAAAAAAAAAAGGAAAGGTGAGTCAGTGGAGGCACGTAAAAAAATCCCTCATAAAGGTTATTATTTATCCTCTGTGGCTGCAAAGATAAGCAACGATTCTGTTGGTTAATTTACAGCCAATATCCACCACAAGGCTGTGAGATGATCTGTGGTGTCATTTATTTAATTTTCTTCTCAGAAATGTGATTTTTTTTCCCCAGCTTGGTTTGGTTTGGAAAATGTCTTCAATATGGAGCTCTGAGCTTTAACCACGTCAGCACGAGAATCAAGTTAGAGGTAAAAATGAGCGACAAACCTGACAAGCTAAGAAACAAAACACCAAAAGATTTTATTTCCACTCCAAACGCAGTTCTAACATTGTTTTAAACCGAGTTCATACATGGATAAACTTGTCGGAACTGAATGAATATCCATGATAATAATAGGAATCCTGGAGTTACCATTCCTATTAACATTGAAGATTGTAGAACTACACATCCGACTATTTTACTATTTTGGATGGTACAGTATGTCCTAGAATATGCTTTCAAATATATATATATATATATATATATATATATATATATATATATATATATATATATATATATAAAACATTAGTTATATTACAACAACTTTACAAAAGGTGGATCTATCCAGTTGCTTTTATGTCACTCCTGATTTGAACAACTATAAAGTAAATTACTAGAAAATTCAACTTTTTCAAAATAAATCAAGGTCTGAATTTGGAGAATCAAATGTCAAAGTATCTCTTTGGCTTCCGAAGGTTTTTGACTCTAGATCTGAACAATTTCACTGAACCTCAGGATGTGACGCTGGAAGGTGAACCTCAGTGAATGACTTTTCCATCTTCTGATTGGTTTACGCCCCAATATTAACCTGTAGTTATAGTTACGTCCATCTTTCCATCAACTATGTTCAGTTTAAGTGTTCCTGCTCCAAACAGTCATCCTACAGAATGATGTTGCCACCACCAAGTTTCACCAAAAGGGATTTTAACTTTTCTGCCACACGTAGGGTTGAAGTGTTGGTCAAAACGTTCCTTTTAAATCTTCTTCCCATGTTAGATGTGTAACTGTTTTGGTTGCTTTGCAGTGTCGACATCAGATTCTCTTCCTGGTTGATGGACTGAAGAATGTCCAATTAGATGTACAAAAAACAAATGTTTGAAACCTGCTTTAGTTTTTCACAATTTTATCACTGACGTGTTCTTGGTTTCTATGATGCAGATTGTTCACTAATGTTTTGTAAAACGTCTCCGAAGCCTTCACAGAACAATTACCCTCAAGGGGGTTTTATTAGCTGATTAGTTGACTTTTAAAGGCAGTTGGTTCCATTGGATTTTATTTTGGGATTTCTGTTAGTAAAACACTTTGAAAACATGCCAATTTTGTCCCACTTTAAAACTGGACGATTGTTTTATGTTGGTGTGCCACATAAAATTCCAATAAAGTAAAGTTTATGTTTGTAATGTGATGAAATGAAGAGCTAAACGGAAAAGGAACTGTTCATTGCTGCATGGCTCCTGGTCAATCCTTGAATGTCTCATTTCATTTCAGCCCAGTCTGCTCCGACTGGTCAGCCTACTGCAGGAGCATAGCCAGCTGTTCTTTCTCTCTTTGATTTCCTCCAAATTATCCACTGGGGAGTCGCCGCTGAAATGCGTATCACAGGCATGCAGTTTAGATAAGTACAGCTACAGAAGAAAATCCAGAAGATCTGATTCACAAATTCAGAAGCAGCGAGTCAGCCGGTGATGATAACTGGCACTGACGTGGACTTTTTTGACTTTGCTGCTCCACCGACACAGTCAAGCATCAAAAGCTATAAAACGCTGGAGAAAAAAATGGGGGAAACTCAGAAAGCATAACAGGGTTGCTCCTGTTCCCTTTGGCTTCACTGCCCAAGGTCTTCACCAGCATGACGGTAATAAAACGAGACAATAAAAAAAACAAGGCGGATGTCGAATGCTAAAGACAGTAGTCTCTTGACTATTAATTAGATCAAGCTTTATAGATTGTGTCGAGGCTGTAGGGGAGTCTGAAAGCTTTTAAAAAGAACTATGCTACAGTTACCCTTACTCCATCATTAAGGTTGGCAAGACCCTGCACTCAGCAGACAAATATCCAAAGTCTGTACTTATCTGAAGCCGTCTGTTTTTCATGAGCCTATGGAAAAGGAAATTAGATCTCCTCTCCCAACTGTTAGAAAGGCATATTTTCCATGATGGTATCGTGAGGATTTACAGCAAAACCGGTACGTGCTTTTCCTTCCATCTTAAGAACGCTAATAATATCCATCTACCTTTGTTCAGATCTTTCGGATTCCACCTAAGTGATAAAAATGTGCAAAATAACACTGGGAAAGCAAAGAGAGGACACGGCCCGGGTGGCCCCCTTTAGGAGGAAGCACATACATGCAGAGTGCATTAAATTACAGGAGGCAACATCTGTATAAGCTTAGATCTCTGGAACGCATTAAATACCCATCGCTCTGCACTCACATCATATGTAACCAGTAGACCTGAGTAGTGTTAGGCCAACTTAAACTAAACACAGATTCATTAAGCTTTTGGGTTTGTGCAGGGGGAGTCAGTTCAGATCAGTCCTCTTCGGTTGAAAACAGATGTGTCATTTTATCACTTCAATCCTTCACGTTACTTTAGAATTCAGCAGTCTCTCTGCTGTATGTTTGTTTATGAGTCTGTATTGTTACAGTACCATACATTTTAACAGTGACAGTGAGTCACATTAAGGAAAACTTCAATGTAAATCAACAAATAAAGTTTCCCCAAGGGTTGCATTGCATTTAACTCCATAAACTCCAATAAGCTCTGCCTTACTTCCTAGTGCCTGCTGAAGAAAAGCTTCCCCCCAGCATAATGCTGCCACCACCGTGATTCATGTTCTAAAAACATCGTGTTTTTAGTGTCAACTCTTTTCCTTTGATTTGTCCTCTGGAGGGTTTTTGGAAAACTGTAAATCGGGTATCTGTAGAACGGTTGCCATGCATCCATGAAACTCATGGACTGTGTGACTGATAGTTGACCTGTCAACAGATTGTTCTACCTGGGCTATGCATCTCTGCAGCTCCTGTTGAGTAACCACAGGGCTCCTGGCTGCTTTTCTGATTAATGCTCTCTTTCTTGGCCTGTCGGTTTAGGTGGACGGACAGTAGATTTACCGCTGTGTCCTTCCCTTTCCACTTTGGGATGATGGATTGAGCCGTGCTCTGAGATATTCAAAGATTGGGATATAATTTTAAAACCATAACTACGACTACAATGGCTGTCTTTCTTGAGCTTCACGATGCTGAATTTTTTACTAATGTTTTCTAAGAAACTCCTCACACATTTGTAACACAGCTGAAATTAGACTGAGGGCCAATTTTCCACCAATGCATGCCTTATTTTTGAAGGCAGTTTGTTGCACTGGAGACAAACATTTGTGAAAGAGGTGCACTTGAAAAACGTTCTTATGCAACAGAATCAACAGCTGAAAAACAAAATGTGTTAAAGTAATAACAGAGTAGATGTCATAGAGCAGCCTACAGTTTATTATTATTTTTCTCATAAAATGTATAAATCAAAGACAAGAAAAGACGGGAGTGATAAAACAGAGACACACTGGAGCTGGCATGAGTTCTGTTTGCTTCACCCTTTTTCTAAAACCTGTCCTCTCTGTAAGTCTGGGTAGAAGCATCTTATTCTTAGAGCTTTCCTCTTTTAAACAAAGGTTTCTGTGTTAAGCACACATGCAGTCATTACAAGAACAACATATGCTAATTAAAATCGACAGCGAGACCACACGCACAGGACGGTTCCCTGGGCCTCGCAATGATTCAGTCAATCCCACACTCCCTGGTGGAACCCTCATCCCATGCCTCCCTCTGCTTTTCCTTTCATCCCTCTGACTTCCTTGTGCATATCTCAGTTCATTTTGTTGACGTTCACGTCTGGGTCAGGCTGCACATCTTTTTGGCATCTGTTCACGTTCCTCCGCGGAATCCCAGGAATGATCTGCAGCAACGTGCTCAATCTGCCCGACGCTATTCCATGCGTAGTGGGATAAATTATCCTGTCACGGATGCACTTCAATAAACACATTAATGTGTTTTCCCGCGACTACAACATGTCTCGACATTGTCAACTCTCGGCTGAGGCACAAATGAATAAGGTGGATCTAGTTACACTTCACTCAAAGAGAAAGCAACTGTTTCATGCGCGACAGAGAATAAACAGTGGAGAATAAACAGCCTCCCGTTTGTTCCTGAAGCTCATTTCACATTTGATTATAATCTCAAAAGTTTATGGAAGCACATAGACAAAGCTTTATTATTGCTGGGCTGTGGTATTTTGGACGCCTGCTGTGAGGAGGATCCTTCCTGACTCACAAAGAGGACCTAGAAGATATTAATCACAATGGGTGGAAAAGCAGAAAGCAAAGGGTCTTTATTTTTATATATATATATTTTTTACAAGTGCCCAGCTGACTATAAAATTTGTCTCTGAAAATGGTTTGTTACTAGAGAGTCAAAAATGTGTTTTTGATTGCCAGCAGGAGGTGAGTGCAGTTTGTGCTACAAGAAGCAATTCATGAGCCTCCATGGTCAAGTTAACCAAAAGTGAAAAATGAAGATCTGACTTTGATTGGATGCAGACACCTCCTGCTGGCACCAGATCATAAAACGGGTGGAGGTGCAAAACTTTTTTTTTTTTTTTTTTTAATCATGTCTTTACTGGACTAATTTAGAGGCATAAACAAATATGTGGTTTCTTCCTTGACTCTAGGAAATTAAGAACATATTGGACTTAAAAACTTAATCAGCAGAGATGAGTTTTACTGAGACGAGAAGAAATTAAACGCCTTTCTTTGGCTTGTAGAGTGTTTGTCCTTCTGTATTTATGTTTGTAGGGTGGAGAGGTGTGTGCTGGTCTGCTTCCAGGAGAGCCTGATAAATAGAGTAATAACAGGAATGTCTTTTCAGACCTCTAAAGTACTTTTTCCTCTCATTGACTCAAAGGTTCTCTTTTCAATACAGCTGACTTCAACAAACCACTGGTGGTGTTACATTTCGGGTAGAGATGCCCCTAGAAAGCTGAAATTGGACGATTTCACACTTTCCAGTATTGATCAGTAATAAAAAACTAAAGTCCAATCTTTTTTTGCAATTCTGAAAGCAGACCACATAAGCACACCGGATCCCTTTAGCAACACTTCAGTTAAAATGCTCTGCTCTCTATTCACTACTATGGCGAGCACTAACAATAGAAATACACGGTATATGCATTTCATTTACACACTGTAAATCAAAAAAACAAAACAAAATAAGACATGACATTTTATGAGAAAAATCATTCTTCACCAGTCCCTCTCATCTTGAAAGAACAAAGGAACAGATGGAAAATTTAAAACATAAGAGGGAAAATAATTAACCAGGAGGAAGTGAACACAGAAACGGTACAACAGTGTAATATCCCCCAGATTTCTTCCAGTGGTCTGTCAAATTCAGCCTTTGCTGTCAACACAAGAATAACATTTCTTTTCAAGCACTGCGGGTGTACAATATCTGGTAGCCTTTGAATGTTCAAACATGTTCCCTCCCAGTAGCTCACAAGATTGTTGAAGTACTTGAACCACCTGCTTGCTGGTTAGGTTTATTTATCTTTGCTTTCTCAGCACCTTAATGTCAGGAAATGGTTTTGGGAATCACCTTGGTTCTAATGCGCCTCAACTGTTACTTATTATAGTCAATATATATACTGCTCAAAAAAATAAAGGGAACGTTTCACTTTAATTTTGTGTGGCTCCAAATCCAGGCCTCCATTGGTTAATAAATTTGATTTCCATTGATGATTTTTGTGTGATTTTGTTGTCAGCACATTCAACTTTGTACAGAACAAAGTATTCAATGAGAATATTTCATTCATTCAGATCTAGGATGTGTTATTTGAGTGTTCCCTTTATTTTTTTGAGCAGTGTATTTCAGTAAGGTTTAAAGTAAAAAAAAAAAGAATAACATTTATGTCAGAAAGCAAACAAGTAAACTAAATTGTTAGTGAGTTTTCAGAAATTGGCTTGTTTTGAACAAACCTGCAGTTGCATTCGTCCCCCTTGACCTTTCGAATGGTTTTAATGAAAATAGTTTGCATGTGTGTAAGCTAATCTTGTTATGAATAAAACGGTTCTGCAAAGGCATCAGGGGGTTGTTAGAGAACAGGAGGGAACAAACAGCATGATGAGTCCAATGAGCACAACAGGCCGGTCAGGAATAAGGTTAAGGAGAAACTGAAAGCAGGCTTAGGTTCTAAAACAATACCAAGCTTTATACATCTAAATCCACCATTTGAAAATAGAAACAATATGGCACGGCTTAAAATGTACCAAACATTAACATCTAAGGACTGCAGAGGAGGTTTCTTACGGCTTTATTTCAACAATAACCTCGTTCTTGGCGTGCACCCAAACTGAACTTTTTGTTGTACCTGAGAATCCTAAGGTTAGTGGAAACCGAACAGTGAATAACATGCTGAACAAACAATCCCTAGTTATAAAATGGTGGTGTTTTGATGGGACGGGAAAGATGGCCAGAGATTGATGTGGCTAAATACAGGCAAAATCAAAGAGAAAACTGAAAGACTTGAGACTTTGGTTGCCTCACTTTACCTTCCAGTGGGAAAATAGCTCTAAACAAACGATGAGATGTATGTTACCATTTTCTGGATTATTCAAATATTATTTAGATGTATCAGCATAAAAATACATCTAAATACACAGATTGTGTATTTAGATGTATTTAGGGGACTGGACATGAATGCATGACACACTTTTCTGGTTTTACAAGTAATAAAAACAACAAAAGAAAAAACAAAAAAACTTATAATCCTCTCACTAATTTGTGTTGGCATCTCGCACACAGTTTCCAAAAATACATAAAAAAATATCAAATGATGAATAGAGGCATTCTGAACTAAATATAAATATTTCAATTAACTGTATCTGAAACAAAAGCGCGTGACCGAGGCATATGAGAAACAGTCGTTATGTTTGCCTTCCTGCCAACTCAACTATAAACTGTAAACAATGATTCATTTACGGTTTGGAGCCCGTCAGGCTCTTGCTGTTCTGCTGCCAGGGTCTGTCCTGCTCCAGGGACAGCATTTTTGGACCGATCCACTCTGCAGTAACAACAGGCACATGAACAAAATATCTTCCTTTAATAGAGAACCTCCCTTTCCTCCTCCTCTTCACCGAGACATACAGACTGACATTCACTCCAAACAAAACAAAACAAACAACAACAACAAAAAACAGACAGCTTAGATTAAAATGAGAACTATATATTATGTTAACTTCAAAATATTCTTTAAAAGTTGGAGAAAAAACAGGGATGTTGGGTGTAAGGGAGGTGGAGAGCTGTAGCACTTAGGGGAAGGGTCAGTGAGCGTATCTCTTAAACATCTGTGCTCTTCAGGCCAGGAGGACTAAGCACACTCTGCTCAAACCTTCCTCCAGCCTGCAGCAGGGCAGATATCTGCTCAATGCCTAAAGGAGTTTAATAGAGAAATTACCTGTGAGGCTCAGTAATTACAACCTAACAACAAAGTAATAGCAAGCATCTTTTTTCGTAGGATTTTTCCACTACAAACAATTCTTCTCGGAAAACAGCTTGAAAACAGTTTTAAGAATTGTTAATATGCATTGATATAAGACTAAAAGCCCAAGGATAGACTGCTTCAGATAGAAATATAAAAGCTATTTCAAGCTCGCAGGAGCCTGACGAAGAGAAGATCAGCACATGTTTAATAACGTCAGCAGCAGAGATGCAGAACTACAATGCAAAGAAAGTTCAGTAATTAAATGTAACAAACCCTGAATGTGATGCAGAGCCTCTAAACCGTGTTTGGTAGCTTTGAATTCAACAAAAAAGGAAACAACAGAGGATAATTCCTAATTTATGTATCAAAGCATATGTCCATAATATTTTACACTTTTACTTAACTTAAAACAGAGAATTTTACAACTGTGTAAGATTTTAACTCTCAAATGTATAGATGAGAAGAGATACAGACACAGTGAGTGTAAAAAGTATAAACTGAACCCCTGGCTAAGGCAAGTTTTCATAAAGCTGGATATACAACAACTATCCAACTACAAATAAAAGATAAGGAATATATCTGGATTATCCATAATCATTTTGTAATCAGCAATGCCAAAAATACCCTACTTAATATGAAAATAATTAGCTTAGAATTTGTCAGGATTTGTGGTTTCTTTTATCTTAAACACTAATTAACACCATTTTGCAACATGTGAAAAGCCTAAACTCTTGGAACAAAACATGGCAGTTTCCTTTTAAAGGTTCTAAGAGGAGCAAAACAAATTACTCTGCAATTTACACTATTTAGTGTAATAGGTCTTTAAACAATGAGCTTTCCAAGAGCAAAGCAGCCCCATCCTGAATTAACAGTAGAAAAACCAAGGGCTGCGATTATTTTCTCATTTTCTAATTAACTGAATCACCCACCCTCGTTTCCTATAAGTAATTTGCCTTATTACAGTAAATCTATATGATATGTACAAAACAAAGTTTTAAATCAAATTCAACTTTGCGATCTCATGTTGCTCGCGATGAAAAGTGGCATCAGCATTTTCAGCTGTCTTCATCTCTGACCCAGAAGCTAACATCTTGCATGCTGCTCCACTTTGCATGCATTCCATGTGCAGTGACATCAAAGAGGATCTGTTTCCTATGGTAGCATTTAGCTCACATTTTCCACTCAGCAAGATGCTACCTGTTCAGTCCACACATATGCAAACTCCCTCACAAAGCCAAACGCATAATTCTGCACGGTCCAGATTTCCATTCTAACCATTGTGCTCTAAATATTTAAATAATATTACGAAATATTCTGAAAGCAGACTTCTGTCTTCTGTGCTAGTCAAGTATTTAAAACAAGTCAGTCTGTGCTGAGGGTTAGAATAACATAATGAATAACACACTGTGCAAGAGGCCTTTTATGAAACATGCAACCAAATCCAACATTGTTGTTCTGGCCAATAAAATTCACCACTGAGTGGTATTAAAAACCAAATAAAATAAAAAAAATCTAAAATCTATAGCCTTTAAACGTGTCACTGAAATGTTTGGACTCTGAACAAAAATGTCTAATTTCTTCTTGTCTGAACTGGTAGCTGTAAATAAAAGGATTATTCTTTCAACTGTAACCAACGTTAACAAGTATCTAGTAAATGCTGGCATAAAAGTCAACCACACATTTAATTTATTAAATAGTTCAGTATCTGAAGTCCCGAAGTGGTCTTAAATCTTAAATCTTAAATCTTTTCAAGTGTTATAGAACCATGCTACGTTAGCTGAGTTATATCCCTAAATTACTTTTACATGTATCCTTTCTGGTTACACCCAAAAAAACAACAATAATAACTACAATTGTGGGAAAAAAAAAGAAAAAAAAAACATTTCCATCAGCATATACTGTAAATAGATTGCTAACAGATTGCTAACAGATTGTCTTTGCAACCCCATTGTCACAAATATGTGCACTGTTTTCTTCAAAAGTCAGAAGCGCTCCACACATGCAGGCTATTAAGAGGTTGAATCTTCTTAGTTTAATTTTGATCATTTGTCATCAGTCCAGATTATCTAAACATCCATTATATATCCATGAAGCGTCACCCAGGGGCTGCCGCCTATCTCCAGCCGTCACTGGGATACGCCCAGGACAAGTCTAATACCTTTTACAGTTAAATAAAAACAAAACCTTTAAGTCTTCACACTATAAAAGGCATCACTCAGTTATGCCCCCAGATGCATTTTCCATTGTTAAAATAGAACACGCTTACAGTTACACCAAGAGTCTAAAATTCAAATTTACCTCGAAGACTTCATCATCCAAGATTCTGGTACCAAAGACTGTAATGCCTTCAGTGTCGATCACGGCTTGGTCACTTCTTTTAAGCGCTTTGGTCAGCTTCTTCTTACAGTCCACAAAGACGGTGATGCTCTTCTTCTCAACGCTGATAGCGACTCTGTGCCATCTGTGCAGCAAAATGAAAGGTCAGAAATTGTGAACTAAGAGAATAGTACTTGCATAACACTTTATCTAGTTCAGAGGACTTCAAATCTACATTCAGTCACATTCACACACACATTCACACACTGATCAGGGAATATTCCTTTTTTTTTTGGTTTTTTTTTTTGCTTTCCTACTTTTTAAAATACAAGAGCCAGCCGGTAGATGAAAAACAGCCGTCTCAGTGTGTGAAACAAAATCTGTCTGGTAGTTTGTCCAAAGCTCCAGATCAATCATAAGGTTATCAATAAAATGTTGTGTACAGACATGAAGAGAAGTTTTTTTTTACCGCTCTACACAGTAGGGACAAGCCTTTGGTTTGCCAAGTGTTAAGTGGTCATGCCCAGCTTGTTTAATTTATCTTAATATGAGCTGTCATAATGCGACTTTGGATTTTTAAAGGGAGGATTTGTTAGCTATGCTTGGCAGAACGTAGAGATCTGCTCAACAGCTAACCCACTTCCGTAGAACCTCTTTCCACCTGCAAAAAAACCTTCAAAGACAAATTCATATTTGCATTTAGTCCAGACAAGCAAGTGGAAAAAGGCACAAGTTCTGAAAAGATTCTGAGTTCTGAGTTTAAAGGCACTTTAGTGCAGTTTGTTGTACAGTTCAACAGCTTCTAAAACAGGAACTGACAAATGTTAACACATCGGACAGTGGTTGACCAACCACTGTGAGAACAGCAGCGAACAGAATGAGGCAAATTTTATACAACCAGCTGTCATTTTTTTTTTTTTTTTTTGTATTACTCTTGCTCTGCAACTGATGGAGACCGAGTCTAAAGACAAAATAAACTGGCAAGGGTAGTTCTTATTCTGTACGTCAGGTAATCTGCTGCGAGCTGTGGACGCAGTCCAGTTAAAACAAGGATGTGAGTCACAGAGAGGAAAACGTTAATGACACTGAAAAGTGGTCTGATCTGCAAGGCAATTATAAGACAGGACGTTTGCAATTATCTGTGTCATTAAATGTCCATTTAGGCTGCAACAAAAGAAAGCTATTAAACTCATTCTAAAACGGTCACTTAGACATTAAAGTGTAAGGGATAGTCTTTTCGTAGAATTACAGAAAAGATTGTATAAAGCCCATTCGAAATGGTGTGCCAGAAAGTATTACCCCATAAGCAACTACTTCAAAGTACTTTATGTAAAGGAGCATGCAAAACTATACCTGTCAAACTTTAAAAAAAAAAAAGAAATAAAAAAACGAGAAATGGACTTGCATTGGAACTACAACCCCCATGGTATAAGTTAATAACTAGTAATATAATATAAGACAATTACCAACTAACATTGATGTCATGACTACTATTAGACCTACCCACATGTTGCTGATGTTACTGAAAGATCCTACACATTTATTCAGCTTTGGTGAAAATGTTTAACTTTACCTTACAAAGTCACCAGGTGACTTCGAACCTGGACAGATGTTTAGAACAAATCAATGTGTGGATGTGCCAAAACTTTCTCCAGCTGAACAGAAACGAAACTGATGTTATTATCTTTGGACATAATGAGGAACGATCAAGAGTCACCACACAGCTACCACTAGCTATTGCAGAGTAGTTTCCGAGTATTACAGCTAGAAGCTACAGAACAGGCCCAAAATCTGGGTAGAGTGATGGACTCAGATTGGAGTTTTCAGAGACACTTAAAGACACCCTAAGAACATTTCCAGGATTAAAGAATTAATGTTCCAACAAGATCTTGAGAAACTCCTCCATGCATTTATCTCTGGTTCAGTTGAATACTGCAGCAGTGTCTTCACAGTTCTGCCTAAAAACATACAAGTTGCTTGTGTCCTCATTATAGCTAGGAAACCCAGTTCCTAAGTCTTTACTCTGCCCCCTGTAGCTCAGATCAGACCTTAAACTAGTTCTGTTCACTGAATGGCTTAGCACCAAAATACGATATAAAAACTTTTGGTCTGCTCTGCATCCCCAGAACCAAGCATAGAGAAGGAGCATTTAATTTTTATGCATTGCTAATCTGGAACAGACATCAAGAAATCTACAAAACAATGAGTTCTTTTAAATCAAGACTAAAAACCCATATGTTTAGAGTTGACTCTCATTAATTGACATCACGCAAAGCACTTTGAATCACCAAAAATTGTCAAAATACTCAAAATTGAATAACAAACTCATTTATTTAGTTAGAGTAATTATTTACCGTCAATCCTTTGCCCTTCTCTCTGACCAAAGGCGTCCAAGCTACAGTTTAGATGAAAGGTCACGTCTTGATACGCCTATGGTTGTTCACTTGTTAGTTAGGTGATTTTAAAATTGAATTGATTAAGATAAGCAAGGCAAGTCTATGTGTGTAGCACATTTATTTTGTGAAGCCATTCAAAGTGTTTCACAAAATAAAAACTAAAAAAGAAGAAGGGATTACATAGCAGAGGCATAGTAAAGTTGTAATCCAGACTAAAATGTATGGAATTTTAGTTAATATTGTTCAAAAGCATCTCTAAACAAAAGGGGTTTTAGCCTTGATTTAGATCCACCTTGATGATGGGTTTCATTTAGAGATAAGTTTCACCTTAAAGGGGTTTCAATACAAATTCCCCCAACGCTCTTTTTATTTCTATTTTTAAAAAGGTTTAAAAACAATGCAACATTCTAAGTCAGTCACTTGAAATTGTACAGATGCAATGTCACAAAAATATGAAAACGGGAACATGAATATTTATCCAAAGCATTGCATTTAGATATATTTTGTGATGTACATTTTTTTTTTTTTTTTTAACAGAACAGAATCCACACATGGAAACATTTACATGCATTTCTGGTCCCATTTATATAAATGATTAATGGCAACTTTTAATAGTGGTTTGAATTTGCTTCACAAGGGAGCTATGCAGTTCATAAGGATCCTCACCAATGCACCATATCGCTACGCCGCGGCTGTAAATTATCAAGACAAAACAAAGGCTGTCATTATATTGTTAGCTACAATTTATCTGCCATTACAGTCTGACTTGTTCCATGTGCTATTAATGACTAAACAAACACATGATAATAATTAATCTGCAGAGTAGTAAGTCACTTTAGCAAGCCAGAGGAGCTTGAGAAAATACTTTGCGCAGACTGGTTTTGTTTGAAATAAAACATGACCTATGAATCATATTAAAAATGTCTGAAATGATCTTTAATTTGTGCCGCTCTCGTTCTGAGAGCCGTCACCACAAACTTAAGGTTCCAACACTCAAAACCCAATTTAGATCTGACGAAACCACAGGACAGGGGAGATTCTGGAAGCACACAAAAGTCAACCACCCAGGTTTTACCTCCAGTGTTGTTTTTCTGAAAAGGCAATCACTTACTTGCCATCAGCAAGGTTGATGGAGCGGAACAAAGGGTATTCCTCTGGGGTGGGCTTGCCATGCTGGTCCTCGTATAGGAAGACGGGGGCCCGGCCCACCTCCACCCCCAGCTGCTGGAGGCCTTGTTTGTTGTATATGGATAGAAGGAAAGACTGGAGTCTAGCCTTGGGCTTGATGGTGAACAAAATGGAGAAATCTTCAGGGAAAACTCCTCCTGAAAGTGACAAAAGAAAACAGGAATGGAGAGTGGCATGTCAGTAAGCACTTGCACATGTGTAATTAAAAAAAAAAGAGTAAACAAAGCTTTACAGGACTGCTCTGCAACACATTGATTTAATAACAAGAATGACTTAAATTTTTCCATTTAATTGAATTATTCATGCGAAACTGGTGATTCGGAACAAGATTCCTTTGTTCCAAATTTTTGATCCTGGTGCTTCGTTGAGTTTAATGTCTCATGAAAAACATTTTTTTTTTTTTTTTTTTTGAAGTTGGATGCTGCAGACTTGGTTTTTTGAAAACATCCAACAAATGGGATAAAACAGGAGACAGAAAGAAAGATGCTCGTAGACTTTGGCACAACAAGTAAGAAACAGATGGAGACACTTCAGCGTTGCAGCTGCAGCCATCTGTGTTTTTAAAATGAAAAGGTTAAGAGAAAGTGGTGGATGCAACAGAGAAACAGAAACTAAGTCTTCTGCTCATCCTACAGCAACACTACTTTTACTGTGTGTAGACGGCTTTGCCATATACCTAATTACTCTCAGTAAGTAAAATATTAAGAATATTTTTACCATGCAAAAAAAATCTTTAAAGAAGATACCATGGCTACTGTTTTTAGAAACTATCTGTAAAAAAAAAAAAAAAAAAAAAAAAATGCCACGGCAACACATTCAGACTCTATTTTTACTTCTTATTCTTTGTAAACTTGTCACAAAAAGTATGGAAAAATGTGTTTGGTCAATTCTTCCTCTTGTTGTGAAATTGTTTCTGGACAATAAATCTTCTATTGGAAAGCGTGTTTATACCCCTTTAAATGGTGCCACATTTGTAAGAAAAATGCTTTTGTGGCGCTAGCAGCAGTGTGTGTATGAAAAAACTCAAAAACAAAGAGGCAGTGTGATGGTAGCGAGACATCTGCCTTACTGGAAAAAAAAAAAAAAAACGAGGTTTGTTGTGATTTGACACTATCTGAGTGCAGATAGATAGAAGAGACTACAAGAGAATCCCACATTGAAAAAAGAGAACAGATGATCCAATTTAAATATGTTGCATTAATTGGTCGCAAGTAATCAAATTAAGTTTATCCATGTTAATTTATTACGTTTAGTATGTTGGCAAATTAAACAAATGTAAATAAAGAACGTTTGACTCATTTATTTGTGACCAATTGACAATTTTTAGTCCATGTCTCCAATTGGCCCATCTCTGGCCTCCATAAGATGAAGCTCTCCCCACAAATGTACATCCTTTTTTTTGGTATGTACATTTTCTACTCTCAAAACCAAACTTTTCTTACTTTCTCTATTTTGCATAAGACCTAAAGTGTAGATCATCTTAGTATTTCCTTAGTTACTTCAATTTTGGTATGCATAATTGTTTTTTAAACCAGATCATTAATGAATTAGAGCAATGACACTTCCTGTCATGGTATTTGCCAAGAGCTTAAGTAGGTGAATGCTACATTTCACCATTTCCAACTCAGTTCTTAAATATGATTTAATATCTCAGGGTGATATTCAAGTATTAATATTTTCTGTTCCCAATACTGTGTGTAATCCCAGTTTCTCCAGTGCTGCTGGTGCTGATCAGAGCTCAGGAATTCAAATCTATTTAAAAAAGATGGCTGCTGTTTAAAACAATAAAAAAAAGCAAAATAATGTTAACAAATAAACTTAATTAGTGCAGGTAAAATTTCTCCCTGCTGTGAATGTAAAAATTGGCGTGGCAGTTCAGGACTCTTTTTACTGCTAGTACCAGTAACTAGAAAATAACAGGCTGTAAACACATCTGTATAATTCTAATTACATCCGTCATGATTCATAATATCCATGCATAAAAACATAGCTTCAATTCAGCGTCTCAATTAATCTATTAGCGACAAAGGAAATTGGCAGAAGGTAGATTTACATCAGTTAGTGCATTTAACGTTTATTACTTTTTATCCAGAAAAGTGAGCTATGAGTGAGCTTCTTTCTTAAACTCAACCAGGAAATAAGTAACCTTTTGTTCTTTGTTTGCTGTATCTTTTCCATATAACATACTCCTGCCTCAGTGCTTATGCGCTTGGCTGTGCCTTCTTCATTCATGGGATTATTGTTACAGCTACTGCTGCTAGTAGCTTTGGATATTCTAATTTTCGATTCAGAAGTAATCAATCGTTTGCTTCTCTCCAAGACATAACCACCGAACTCCAAACTTTCTAACTATTTTTTTTTTATCCATAGAAAGTACTCTTGACTCCATTAACTATGTATACACCCTTTGGTTTACTTCTTAAAGAAAGTACTGCTTAAACAGCATTTTCCATTCATCTATTTCCTGTCCTCTCAACCCCAGCCAATCACAGACGGTGGTCATTTATACTTTCTGATGCCTTGAAGTATTTTTGAAAGTTTCTGGTAGTTTTATGAAACTGCTAGTCATCCAAAAGAGGCAAAAGAGTATCTATACCAACCTGGGAAGAGCTGTTTGGTTGGAGCACTGATCTGAGCGTTTTTTGTCACTCTATATGCTACGTCGGGCTTGGATCCTCTCCGGACTGTGCAGAACCCTGGTGTTTTCCGGACTCCTTCTGGAGAACTCTGGAAGTCTAGCGCTTTTAGTACATCGACAGGTTCAGCTGAGGAGACAAAATTAAAGATTTGATTAAATATGACTCTTTTTTTTTACAACAAAATTAAATAAAATGTAATAGAAAACATGTTATAAAAATTTTGCTGCTAGCCTATATAGTAATTTTTAAAACATGAAACTTGAAATAACATGAAATTTAAGCTCAACACAGGCTTAAACTAAAGTGTTGTCCTTAAACTTTAACATTATTCAAGAAATAATTGCCGAAATCAAATGAACAAAACATTTTCAAGCATCGCAATTTTTTTTTTTTTTTTTTTTTGGAGACCTCTACCTCTTTAACAAAGTTAGCAGTTGTTTCACTTTTTACTTCCTGTCTCAAAATGATACACTGGGTGCTAAATGGTTAACCTTCTAATGGTACGGTTGTTTTTGTACAAACTTCAATGCTGCATAAAGGGCTACTATTAGAACCAACGTTGCATAGGACATGACTTCACAATAACATGTTAAAAGTTGAACTTACAATGAGTAAAAATGCAGGGTGAGTGTTTGTACAAATGAATAAAGACGTATTATGAACATGATTTACTCCAATACACAGAGGATAAAAGTCAGGTAAAACTTGTAACAACAAAGTACCAGTAAAATTATGGCATATGTAATGATGAAAAATGGAATACTACATATAACTTTTACTATGTGCTGCTAGAGCTTCGACATGGCAAGTTGAATTTAAATCAGCATTTGCACCAATTATACCAATAGCCTATTTAAGCACTGTTGAACAAATCTATGAGCAGAGCCTTTTTTTATGAGCTGCGTTGGTAAGCAGTAAAATGGTGGCAACCATTCAACAGGCCTAATTGGCCCCCTGCCTGGACTCTGCTGCTACCCCCTTCAGCCGAAAGGGTTCAGCATGTAAGTGATGATGGGAGTAGCTGATGCTGATCAACAGGGTTTCAGAATAAGGAGAGCACAGAGGGGGGTGGCTTTACAGCCTTCTAAACACTCTCCTACGCTCTCTGTATGCACTTTTCTATCAATGGACCGGGAACCTGGGTCAAACAGCTTTGCAGTAATTATCACTGGCTCTCACTTGTTTCATCCCCTACCGTTTCTGTAGCTCGTAAAAACTCATAGATAAAAGCTTTTAATTTAAGAGGTATGAGGGTTTAGGAGGAACTTGGGGCAACATTTTTATCTATCCAATTGTTGAACATGCCCTGATGTTCGGGAATAGCAGAATTTAAGACAATTTTAGATTAAGGTCGCCTCACGGTAATTGTGTAGAAATGACAACACATCTCCACCCACGCTTACATGTGCTCCACAATCCCGGCAAAGCTCTGATTTTTGAAAATATCAATACGACTGCATCCTGGTTTAAAGAAAACTCCCAATTTTCCATACACAGGTTTAAATATGAGCCAGCTGCCGCCATCAGAATAAACCCAGGTTTTAAAAGGTCATGGTTTTAAATTTTTTTCCATCAAACCATTCCAGCAGTTTAAAGACCTTTTAATGAGATTCCATAGAAAGTGCCAGAATCATCAAAGTGTTCCCTGGGTGTATGGCACATTCCTTTTGCTGCATACTGCTGGTCAGGTGGCTTAAAGACAGCTGCATACATTTCTCTTGATTAGAAGACTGGCAAATTAAGCTGCTCAGGAAATATTTCTGGTAATAGAAAACAGTCATGGAATGGATATTGAAAGAGCACAACCTAATGTTCTTTCTAGGGTAATGTCATTTTGTGAGCATTTTTCATAAGTAGAAGACTCCAGGTTAGTTTTTGGCCAATCTTTTTGTCCGTCTATTGTCAAACTAAAGTCAGATGTTAATTTTAAAACCACTGCTAATTATCAACAGGTTTTATTCAACATTTTTGCATTAGTTAAAATAAAACTTTTAACTCTACAAGCCATAGGTTATATTATGTTAGAAAAACAAGTAGTAAGTCTTGTTCTATTTAAATAAAAGCAGTTAGATCACACTCTGAACGCATGTTTTACTCAAGTTTGTCAACTATCAGAGACTTAAACCAGATCATGCCAACTCAGATTTTTACGTCTGGTCTTAAAATGGCTGTGCAAAGAAACTATAGGAAGCATCGATATCTGACCATCCACTAAACAGGTCTATATGATCCTTTTTTGCCACATCCCTTCCTTTCTCTCCTTTCCCTTTCACTCATAAAGCTCAATATATTTTAGACATTTTCCATGAAAATGTAAAATCCCACGGGAATTTGTTTTATAGTTCTAGTTTTGATACCTGCTGTACGATGAAGCAGATAATGTGTCAAATATGACGCCAAAAATGTTGCAGAAAAGCAGACGATGATTCAAAAAATGTCTTTGTTGAAATCATCCAATAAACATTTTTCTGACCATTATTTCTTGTATCTGTTTTGAAACAAAGAAGAATACATTTCAGTTTCTTTTTAGTGTTTGTCAAGCTTTAATACGGTAAATGTAAAGATTTTTAAGATGAATATTATTTCAATTTAAGACGAGCTTAAATTAAAAGGGTGGTTCTGTGTATTTTCCAGGCACATAATGCTATTTATATTATAGTTATCTTCAGTTCATGTAAAAATTATGTATATATCAAAAATGAATAAAAAGAAATTTGACTTTGTAGTTTTACCCCTTTAAATGGGGTCTCTGTCTCTTTAAAAAGCTCTTATGCTTTCCTATACTCTGCCAACTCAGCACTTCATTACAACAATGACTTTCCATTATGCCATTTACAGCATTGGTCTGAGACGTCATTCGTATGATAACTTTCACAGACTTGAAGTTCTACCAGTTGTTTCCTTATTGCTGCTGCCACTAGTCTAGAGGAGCTGACTAGGAAAGGCGCAGGGGAGGCCAGAGTTTCTCAGTTCTGGTCCTCAGAATTGAGAAACATTGGATCAACATGCCTTTTATGTTTCAGGTGTTTCCCTTCTGCCACACACCTGTCTTAAATCTGTGATTTATTAGCATGCCTGTGCAGCACCTGACGGCTGCAGAAGAGGTCATGCAGTCATTTGAATCAGGTGTTCTGGAACAGAGACACATCTGAAATATGCAGCGCTTTGTAAGAGCAAGTGTTTAGGCACCACCCAATGGCTGCCACAGGAGACTGAAAGAAGTGGCTACATGTTGTTGAGTTGTAAAGACTAGCCCCCGGAGAACCTTTTTTTTTTTTTTTTTTTTACTCAGCAGAGCTGTTGTAAACAGTGCTGGGTTATTTTGCTGATGCTGAACTTGCAGATGGCACATTCTGGCTCTGGGGGAACATTTTATTTATACATTTAAGACCATGGCCATGTCCTGGAAAAAGCTTTAGTCACACACACAATTAATTTTGAATTATTGGATGTGAATTGTTCAACCTTGTAATGCATAATTACATTCCTTTTCTCCCACTCTCACTTCCTTGCAGTCTTTTACTTTATGTATTGGGCTGCAACTGTTTTTATTCTGAAACTCAAATTTCCTCTTTTCCAGGAAACCCATCATCAGCAGCTATAGAGCCCTGATAGAGTGCATGTTTTAATGTGCTAGTACAAACAATAACAGTGGCTTCATCTATGATTAAAGCATGTCTGCCGGAGGCTTTATTTGTCAGAAAAATACACAATCAGAACCCACCAGCAGAAGATCATTTTCCTGTTGCTGTAGACAGAACTGTTTATATGTGGCTGGAAATGTGACTTTACAAACTCCGCTGTATTGTATACAAAGCGATGCAAAAAGGCATTCATACTCTCAACCTTTCAAAAGAGTGTGTCAGTGTTAAATAAAAGGGCGGCCAACTATTTTTTCTTCTTCTTATGAATAAAATCTGAAGAAGTTATTCATGCTGAGCCTGCCTGTTAAGTTTCAGAGCCAACCTTTCATTGCAATTACAGCCGCACCTATTTCGGGTTATGTCTCTACCAGCTTTAATTTGCACATCAAAAGACTGAAGCTTTTGCTAATTTTGTTTTGCAAAACACCTTAACCTCTGTCAAACTGAATGAACAGAGTCTGAATTTTGAAATATCGCCGCAGATTCTCGATGGAATTTAGGTATTGATTTTGATTGGACCACTCTATTGCATACAATATATTTGGATCTAACTCAGTCCATTGTAGCTGTGATTATAATTATAAGTTTTGGGTTGTTGTCCTGCTGAAGGTGAACCTCTACTCCGGTCTCAAGTCTGTCTTCCCATTGAAACTAAAAAGTACAACTATTTAGCTCTTTAATCCAGAGTTATAGTTTTTTTTTTTTTTCATTTTGTTAATCAGCAATAATACACTTAAATATGATTAGGGCTTTTCAATATAATAGTAAGCTGGCCAAGAACCAGTAGTAAAACCTGAACTCCAAGTCAAATTCTTTCGACCAGCTATTTGTTTTCACTTTTACAGAAAGGAAAACAATGAAAAATCATGACAGCTGTGTCTAGACATAGCTGGACTCATCTGGCTTTTAACTGGATCAAGAAGCAGGATGTGCCTTTGATAAACAAGGATCTGACTGGTCAGACTAAAATTCCTGAAGACCAACGTGACCTCTGCTGAAAGATTAGCGTCCATTTTCCCAAAAGTGGCCGTGGTTAACTGGTAAGATACCATTTGTATGTGCAAATACGAATTTCACCATGCTATGAAGAAGAGTCAACCCTCTCACAGATTTCATATGGTTTTACTTTTTGATTTGACCCACTTATCAATTCAAGAATTAATAGTAATTAAGCACATATTTTTTTTAAAGCAGAGCTCACTTTCACTCTCCATGCCAAGACCGAATTACCACCAAACACGTAGAATCAATAAATGACCTAAACGAAATATCTGACAACATGAAGTTAGCTAAGAAACCTCAGAAATGCTTTGATTGCAGTTAAAGACATTTGGCAGTGTGTAAAATCTGGAAACAGAGTGCCAGCCTCAGTTTGTGGCCTTAAGCTTGGGTGCACTTGAGTTATTCAGTAATCTAAAGCACACCAACAAGTTAAACTCTGAATGTCTCATAAAAAAAAAGAATAAAAATAAAGGTTCGGGA